TGCACAATCGGTCTAGGGTAACATGGGCTGAACCTCAGAGTAGTTCACGAAATGATACAACTTGTTCATAGTTTGTGCTGAATTCATGAATTTTGCTTTTCAGTGTGACTGCTTCCTCCTAAAATGCTAATCTTATTTGTCGATTCAGTCGGGATGGACGTACCCTATACCAATTTACATGTATTTATGTCGGAAAATGTGGGCATGTCAGAAGGACAATTGATGATGAGGGTCACAGAGCATGGATTGGTAAATAGGTTCCACACATGACTGCCTCCACCACTTCGAATGCGCAGACAATGAAGCGAAATGAAGTTGCCATCAACCATCATCATCAATCGCCTGCCACCTGCTGGCTGCCAACCGCTGTGTAGACCCGTGCGCGCCTTCGGTGTTATCTATACATCAACGAACCGTAGCCGTTGCCGACAAAAAATTGGCCAAAAGTGTGTTTGCGAAAAACGCACTTGTGACCACGGCTCTTCCGTGGTAGGTGGTCTGGAACAGGCGACATGGTGGCATGTATATTGGTGTGTTCAGTTCAGTCAATTTATCCCTTTAACTGCGCTCCTTCCATGATATGATACTATACATAATATTATTGTTATTTTGCAGTTATGATTATATAGGCAGTTGCTGACCTCACGCTCCGAACAGTTAGGTAGCTGGACTACAGCCTTCTGTTTAGCACTGGTTTTTACGAATTATTCCCAAGGTATTCAATTAAGTGACTGCAGCAGTGTTGGAACTTTGTGGTGGTTCTTACATGGATTACGAACGCATATTTGTGTGGCATTGCTGCCACACGATAATTCGCTGAATCTGTGTGCGGTTATTGCTTGTCTAGTTCGGACACAAACCAACAGCAATGGTTTTACTTTCCCTATCGTCCACCACTAACGTTCTTGTTACGACAAATGGAACAAGCTCGATAAAGTTGCATAAATATGTATCAGGTAGGGTAAGCTATTTCCACATGTTACGGACAACCATGTGGTCTGTTTGCTTAACACAGACTGCTCACTTATTATTGGTAATATCTGAGAGTTTGAAAAGTTTATTCACTAGCGGTCAAATCCTTACTTTATCGCACATGTTAGCCTGCTTTACTTCCCTTCGCCTTTGACTGGAATCAACTTATCCATTTTACTTCTAGGTTTCTTAGAGATTGAATTAGGAACAATGAAATGTTTATCCGACTGTGAACACACACTCGAAAATGCATTGCACAAATATTGTAGCTTTTCAGGAATTATCATCAGTGCCATTCCAACTGATCCATGTGGGGCTGGACTCCGCAATTCGACGTTTTGTGATATGTTCTAGTAATCACTGAGTTACGAGAGATGGCAACATAACTTGTTTAAGTTTGTTGCTTGCTAAGGAGGCTAGCTGTGCTCTCCATTACAGTGACGTGGAAGACAGTATAGGATGAGCTGCGCTATATCACGTCTAATAATTTAATCATGTCGGTCGTTACTTTCTCCTTTACGCAGTGATATTTTTCACGCAATGGTAACAGTTGCGTTGCGGTTTCTAGCCCAGTAGGTGTTGGATGGAATAGTGGTACGGACGACTCCCGAAAGGAAGAAACGGCCGTATTTACTTTTCTGGTAACATGGAAGATGTGTGATTTAGTCGCGATTTGACAAAGATTATCCTATATAACTCATGAGTTGAAGAATGTTCGTTAATCTATGAACGTATACTTCCCAGCAAATCAAGATACAAATTACAAGCGTCATACCAAAAGGCACTGGACACGCGCTTCGCTTCATTAGTGCTCCTCATTGGTACGCACCCTTCCGTCACCTTGCGAGAATTGAACGTTCTACGACATCCTGTTGCTCTCAATATTAAACTCTCACTACCCTCGTTGTTTAGTCATTAATACTTTGCATGTGAACCCAGCTCGCCTTGACTTATCGTAACCGAATCAAACAGACGGTCGCCGGTAAACTGCATTCACTCTCCTGCATTTTTCTACAGGACTTAATTTAAATGCTTACTGTAAACGCAAACTTACCAAGTAAACAGAGTAGCACTGCTGACTCGTTTTTCACCATGCTCTCGGCAACACAGCGTAGATTATCAATTTGTCCTCCACAGAATTAAAATAATGCTATACTAATTGTAAGAAAACCAAAGCTTGACAGGTTCAGTGCGATGGCTTGTGTTAATTAATATAAGTTTAAAAAGTGAAGATAATTTAAAATCACGCCTGCGGACTAAGTATAACATCTTTGTTATCCGTTGTATATCATTCTACCCCGAATAGTTGGGGGCTGCTTAACACCATATTTATCTGCGTCATGTTCTCACTGGATGAGCGGACTTTATGTCGCATGGTTCAGCTGATGTAATAATTCACCAATTATTTTTATAATGAATGGTCATGCTTGCACTGAAATGATGAGAATCGGGAGACGTTCCACGACGGTCGACTTCTGAGGGACAACTAATTCCGACGGCATTCCAATCGACCATGTCGTCTGGCCAGGTTCACCGGGTGGCCCCCTCAGTTTTGTGTAGCGACTAAGTTGGAGGTGATGGAGAACGTGACTGGGCGATAACGTCCGTCACGCACTCATTCGCAGACAGGTGGAATACTTCGTTAGCATATTTTGTTGTCCTCCGCAGAGGGTTTTTATTGCGACCGGATTGCGTTCCATCCGAGCTAAAGGGACCTGAATCGCGTACTCAACATAAGGCTTCATTTTGGCGTTCAGCGATTTTAGGTAGATAAAGAGTGGAACAGCCCGAACACACTCCGCATGAGATCAACAAGTTTAACCGTGATTTTCGGCACCTTCAAGAACTGCTCCGAATAGCCGAGGTCATCAAGCATCATCACCCTAAGGTCGCACTCCTGTGAGGTGTTCTTCCACATTCGATTACATAAGTGAATGTGGACTATTCACGCTTTCAGTATTTCGAGACATTGCATTTTATTCTTAGTTATTTCTGCAGTCCGTCCATCTTTTTAATTTAAGGTACATATCGCAAGCTTACTAACCTGGTAATTCAACCCGCACGCCACAGTCTGCCACTGCTTACCTGTCCGTATTCTTTGTAGATTTTGTCGATACAATTTTGGTCCGGATGATGGAATCGTTCTCCCTACCTCCCTACTCGGCTTGCCATTTGCGATTAGCATCTGAGCAGCTACATCAAGACATCGTACTCGATGACACACATGAGAGTTGATTGAAGTATGAGGTTAAGTGAGGTGCCAACACTGATCGTCGTGGAACATCACATTATAACACAGTCGGATCAGACAATGGAACAATGGTTTATTACTGGTAAAATAGCATTGTCTGACAAGTCGCTTAGGAGGAAAATTATTGCAAAAAATCAATTGCGCGATAAAGTGAAAAGCGTTTTGGTGCACTCTCCATAGACTTATGTGGAATAGAGTAGATGATTGAGTATTAAACATATGAATCCATAAATCCATTGGTTAGGCTTTTGGCAAGACACCGTTTGATTGCCCTTTGTAGCCCTTGGCTAACAAGACATAAAATGAAATGCAAGTGAGACAATGCATCGCCAACACGTTTTTTAAATATCGCCAAATTGGGAGCAGATACGACATAATAATAGAGGGCGTTTCAAGGCTGGAACACGCGAAGGGAAAAGAAATATTTACGGCTTTCAAGCCTGCTATACCGAAGTTTCATTTTCAGAGAGTGACCTCTTTGTTTAGTTTTGTGGTTCCAATCCAGCAGCTGAGGGCAAATGTGGTTTTGGTTCTCCAGAGTCTGATAAAACATTATGAGATCCCCCCGCAAAGGCAAATATCGACTGCTGTAGATCCTTAGAGATGCAGTCTAAGCTGATAAGGCAGATGAAAGACGCCTCTGACGTTATTGGATGCCCTTCATTGAGGAGACTCGAGAGTAACAAAATCCTGTTTCTGCCACGGCTACCACGGTTGAATAGCATATTCCACGTGAGGTGGCAGGTAGGCGTCAAGCATTTGGGAAAAGATTGATGGTTCTAACCGATCGAATGCTCTGCGAAGATGGACGAAGTGTTGATTGCCGGTTCTCGTCGCCTTCTCTGCTTGTTTTTAACACGCGAGATCTTCCTGTACCAATATACTCAGGTCACGCTCCTGAGAGACTTTCTCCAAGGCGTGGTCTCCAAGCTTGTAAGCGCTAAGCAGCTGTTGACGCAGATAGATCACCTTGCACTTAGCTACGCTCAGTTATGCATGCTCATCTTTTACCATTAGTAAATCCAATCTAGGTCATGTTGAGTTCCGACAGGCATCTGTAGCTGCAGAAGAAAAATGGAATTTCCGAATTATCCGAGGAAATTTTCCACAAATACTTATATTTACAGCTAATGAAAAACGGTGGAATGTCTAAGCGGTGAATGAGTTTGGCAATTTTTACTTAGATTACCTCGGGTGCAGTCACACTGTCCGATCTTTCGGTTCAAATATCATGCCCAATCAGCAGATACATACACATGGTGGATGTTGACCGAAAGCGTGTTATCCAGTACTTTAACAATATGTTAGTTCATCAACTTGAATGGCAAGAGGAAGGATATCACTGTTCGATATTTGGCGGTTTACGAGCAACAAGCGTCCTAAATATTGTGTGGGAGAAACCTTACTTGCACCCACGAACAATCTGATGTTTTGCTCAGCGTATTTGAAAAACAAGCGGGCTAACAGCTTGATTGGCCACCTGCAGAGCTTTCGCGTGAATGCTGTCAACTATAGCAGCTTCCTAAAAACAATCGCTTTGCTAAAATTGACGTGTGTAAAACTGACGTTGGGAGAATGGATTTTATATCGTATTCACTATGAGAGCGTCGGATTTTTTGGTATATTGGAGCTGTAGTGCTTTGGCCGCGTCTTCAGAACAACTATTTATGCCACTTTGGAATGCATTCGTGTGACTCCCTACGCAAGACAGCTTAGTAAATTGATTGACGGAACCACAGTGTAGAGCTCTAGCACTTTTATATAACCCCAATTACCCCTACTTACCTCTTAATAATAACCAATCACAAACAAACTCATCCCCCAAACAACCACCCCACACCCCACCCCCCCCCCCCACCCCCCCACCCCCCCCCCCCCCCCCCCCCCCCCCCCCCCCCCCCCCCCCCCCCCCCCCCCCCCCCCCCCCCCCCCCCCCCCCCCCCCCCCCCCCCCCCCAACCCCCCCCCCCCCCCCCCCCCCCCCCCCCCCCCCCCCCCCCCCCCCCACCCCCCCCCCCCACCCCCCCCCCCCCCACCCCCCCCCCCCCCCCCCCCCACCCCCCCCCCCCCCCCCCCCCCCCCCCCCACCCCCCCCCCCCCACCCCCCCCCCCCCCCCCCCCCCCCCCCCCCCCCCCCACCCCCCCCCCCCCCCCCCCCCCCCCCACCCCCCCCCCCCCCCCCCCCCCCCCCCCCCCCCCCCCCCCCCCCCCCCCCCCCCCCCCCCCCCCCCCCCCCCCCCCCCCCCCCCCCCCCCCCCCCCCCCCCCCCCCCCCCCCCCCCCCCCCCCCCCCCCCCCCCCCCCCCCCCCCCCCCCCCCCCCCCCCCCCCCCCCCCCCCCCCCCCCCACCCCCCCCCCCCCCCCCCCCCCCCCCCCCCCCCCCCCCCCCCCCCCCCCCCCCCCCCCCCCCCCCCCCCCCCCCCCCCCCCTAAATTGGGGATCACTCTGGTGCATCTGTTTTATCCATGTTTTGCTACTCTAATTTATGCGTTTGTTTGCGTGAAATTATTGACAGAAAGTGCAGTCGCCCATTCTACTGATGTTCCGTAAGCAGAATTATGAGCATCCATCTAATTTGTGAAATAGTCGAAGGCAATCGAAACGTTTTACAGAATATTGACAATGATTTTCCTTTTGCAGCTTAGATTCTTGACCTTAAATGCATATAATTTTTGGCTTGTTATGTAGTTACGTTTGATTTCTGACAGTACCCTAAACCGTATTGAAACCTAGCCTAACCGCTCTAGTTGGGTACTTTGTGTTATTTCTTAAGGATGGTTATTTAGAAGGCTGGAAATGGAAAATCCCAATGAACCTCACAGTTTGTGCATCAAATCAAGGAAACTCGACCGCTGTATCTGAGCACATCCTAACGCTAAGTTTACAAACAAGCAAAGGAATGAGATCATTCCTGATACGAAGCCCGGTGAGAGAAATCCCTTCCAGAGACACTGGCTTTGGGAAAGCTAAATTAATTTATTACGCTTATTTCTTAGGCCATCGTGTTGATCTAGCCCTATTCAATATCAGAATAGTGATGCATGTTTATCAATATCTAGCATATCACTAAGAATTCACCTTCTTAATTTCGGTAGTGCCCACCACCTACTGGCCGTACCTACACCATTGCTAGTATTGAATTAGCGTAATAATCGGTTACTCAGTTGCTTGAATGTTTCACTGATAATTCTCATACCTAGTTGCTCAAATTAGTTAAGCTTCTTAGCTTATTGTTGGTTGTCTTCCACTAAGGAATGAATTCTCCTCTCATTTTGGAAGCACTAGTTGTTTGGAATCGACGAAGGAGCACCAGTAACGACACGCACTTTCTGAATGGCATTTAGAGGATTACAGTGCTTTGTATTTCCTTATGCAACACTGGTCCGAATGGAGACGTTTTCCATCGAAATCTCTATGTGCCCCTTTATTAGGTATAATATCCGATGGAATTTCCAACAGCATGTTTCCAAGTACTTCGCACCACGTGAGTTGGTTCGTAGTCTAACGGGAACATCTTGTCTTATAAGCTGGCATCGCGGGTTCCAGCCTGCCTAGAGGGAGGGCGACTTTCGCAGTATGTTTGCCCAATTGCGACTGTTGGTGTTTGCACGGCAGCGAAGCGTCGGTGCTGCGAACCGGCGGATTGCTAATGCATTTTTGTCATGTTCCTCACTCCGTGGTAATTGCTTGTCAAGACATTCTCGTGAACATGGTAAAGAACACATCACTATATATATGTACCTAGACCATATTTATCGAATTTCGGTTATATATTGAAGGTGAATTGAACTTGGAGAAACGTCGTGTTAACTATCACCTATTTGAAGCAAAGTCGCACTCCTCAAACCTTCAACTTCGCCCTGTCTATGAATTCAATAAACTTGTTAACGATGATTTCTAACAAATTTACATTTGTTCTACTTTAATTGTGATGCCTTATCAAGTCTGCGTTGGTGGTCATATGAACAAAGATTCGTGGTCGTCCGCCAGATTTAAGTGGCGTCAGTGATGTGTGTACAGATTTGAATGTGTTACTCGGGATATGCTCTTTATGAACACAAAAAATAAATAAGCGTCGTATGCTAGTGGTACTAGTAGAGCGCGTGATTCGAGTGACCGGTCACTTATTTCTAACTACACTCTGTGGATTATGGTGGCATTCCATCTCATGATCTGGTGCCGAAAACGTAGTTTTGGAGAGCTTAGAGCCAGGCACGATTGTCGAAGCTGTCAAATGCATTTGGAAAGGGAAGGAACTTGGGTTTGTTTTACGAAGCACATGCTGGTTGAATACTCCGACTTTCTGAAGCAGCCTAATGCAATGGATGCAGTTTCAATTTTAGTACGAGAAGCATCCTGAGTTCCTGATCCAGCTCATGGTTAGCATATGTGACTTCCTTGTTCCACCTGATTCGCACACTACTATTCTTCTGTAGTCGGTATTCGCACACCTGACTCTTAGTAAATTCTCCTAATCTTTTTTATTTACAACGAGGGTGGAGGTATTACCTGAATGGCTACACGAAGTTAGGAAACCAACATCTTCCTTAGTCAACCTCAGTGCATAGTCTAACACTGACCAAGTTGTAAAGAGTTACGTACATATCACTTAGCGATTTCTAGTCAGTTGGTGCCTATCAGTTCCTTGGCACTTAGTTTTGAGAAAATTGTTCCGGACCATATCAGCCGATCCAGACCATACGGAAAAGCATTAAAACTGGAGCATATTAGCTATTGGCCTTTCACGCAAATCTTTTGGTCAGTCTGAGCTTCCTAAATTTCCGAAAATGCGAGTTGTTAGCGTGCAATTCAACTGGAATTCTCCAACTATACTTGGCTTCTTTGAAAGAAGCACGATATTGTCGCACGCAATTTCCACAACGAAGAGCATCTAAATACTTTTGGGCCTCTCCTAACGGCTCTACGATTTTAGACTAGGTTCCCATGAAATATATAACGGTCGGTATAGG